TGGGGGGGTTCCCCCCCTGGTGGCACTACCCTGGGGACACCCTGTGTGGCACCCCCTCAGATGTCTCCAACCTTGGGTACCTGGGGTGGAGATGGAGGTCCCCAAGGTGCCACCACCCTCCCTGAGGACGCTGGGGAGGAGAGAGTCCCCCCCCCCACCCACTTGGAGGTCACCGGGCACAGAGATGGGGACACCCCTCTCCCTGGGGACACCCCTCAGGGACCAGGGAGGGGAAATGGGGGTCCTCAAGGAGCCACCACCTGCCCTGGGCCCCCCCCACCTCAGGCACCAGGGATGGGGGAACCCCTTGAGGTGCCACCACCCACCTGGGGACTCCCTTTGGGCACTGGGGACAAGGACAGGGGGTTCCCCCAGCCCCATGACACCCCAAAAGGGACATGGGTGGGGAACAACCCTGGGCTCACCCCCACCACCCAAGGGTGCCACCACCCGCCCTGGGGACACCCCTCAGACACCAGGGAACCCCTTGAGGTGCCACCACCCACCCCCGGGGACAGGGGGTTCCCCAGCCCCGTGACACCCCAAAAGGGACATGGGGGGGTGCATTAGGGATGGGGGGGGACAACCCTGGGCTCACCCCCACCCAGCACCCAAGGGTGCCACCACCCGCCCTGGGGACACCCCACCCCTCAGACACCAGGGAACCCCTTGAGGTGCCACCACCCACCCCTGGGCACAGGAACAGGGGGTTCCCCCAGCCCCGTGACAACCCCAAAAGGGACATGGGGGGTGTGATAGGGATTGGGGGGGACACCCCTGGGCTCACCCCCACCCCACCCACCACCCAAGGGTGCCACCACCCACCCTGGGGACACCCCTCAGACACCAGGGAACCCCTCGAGATGCCACCACCCACCCCCGGGCACAGGGACAGGGTGTTCCCCCAGCCCCGTGACACCCCAAAAGGGACATGGGGGGTGCAATAAGGATGGGGGGGACACCCCTGGACTCACCCCCAGCCCACCCAGCACCCAAGGGTGCCATCACCCACCCTGGGGACACCCCTCAGACACTAGGGAACCGCTCGAGATGCCACCACCCACCCCCAGGAACAGGGACAGGGGGTTCCCCCAGCCCCGTGACACCCCAAAAGGGACATGGGGGGTGCATTAGGGACGATGGGGGACAACCCTGAGTTCACCCCCACCCCACCCAGCACCCAAGGGTGCCACCACCCACCCTGGGGACACCCCTCAGACACCAGGGAACCCCTCGAGATGCCACCACCCACCCCCGGGCACAGGGACAGGGTGTTCCCCCAGCCCCGTGACACCCCAAAAGGGACATGGGGGGTGCAATAAGGATGGGGGGGACACCCCTGGACTCACCCCCAGCCCACCCAGCACCCAAGGGTGCCATCACCCACCCTGGGGACACCCCTCAGACACTAGGGAACCGCTCGAGATGCCACCACCCACCCCCAGGAACAGGGACAGGGGGTTCCCCCAGCCCCGTGACACCCCAAAAGGGACATGGGGGGTGCATTAGGGACGATTGGGTACAACCCTGAGTTCACCCCCACCCCACCCAGCACCCAAGGGTGCCACCACCCACCCTGGGGACACCCCTCAGACACCAGGGAACCCCTCGAGATGCCACCACCCACCCCC